AGTTTCTTCCGCTGCCATGTTGGAGTTGCCACTCACCTTCTTCATCGGTAATAATTTTTACAGAATGTACCCAAAGTTTAACAGGATAGGATATTTTGAATACATTTAAAAATACACTGGTAATCATAGATTAAGGAAAAATCACAAAAATAGCGATAACTCCCCTCAAAAATAAGCCAAACTGTGTAAAATTTGAATATGTTGCCAAGAAAGAGTAGCTGAGTAAACCTCCAATATGCAAATTAGTGGTGCTGCACTCGGAATACGCCATCTGCGAGGAGCATTAAAGTCCATGTTTGAGAGCAAGCCCATATGTTTCACTGTGATAGTGACATCAGAATCTGAGATAGCCAATTCGTAACAATGACCTCCAAGCATAATTTGCCTTCAGAACTACGATAGAGAACCATTGGGAGACTAGAGGCAGAACAAAGTTAAACTGAAGTGGCCAGATGGCTAAATGTGAGTCCTTCTGTGGTTCATAGACTTTGGAGGCAATTTCAAATCACAGATTCGGCATCTAGGAGGTTCAGCCAAGGATGGCCAACTGCTACGACGAGCACCAATGACCGATATTTGACATTATGTGCACTCAGGAATAGAACTGCTACTCTGACCCTTCTTAGATCTTCCCTTGCTGCAGCCACCAGGTGGTTGGTGTCAGCGTCAACTGAGCGTAGAAGGCTTCACAAAGGTGGTCTGTATGCGAGGCGAACAAACATTTGCGTGCCACTCAAGTCACGCCATAGGAAGGACCGTTTGCAGTGGGCACGACAACATGTCCACTGGACGCCTGAGCAATGGAGGACTATTTTCTTTACGGATGAGTCCAGGTTTAGTCTAGAAAGCGAAAATAGGCGTTATTTGATATGGAGAGAACCTGGAACCCGTTATCATCCGTGAAAGAGATGCATATGGAAGAGGCAGTGTCTGTGTTTGGGGTGGCATCTCTTTGGGTGGACGCACGTTTCTACATGTTTTTCCAAGGGGAACCGTGAATACTTATGTTTATAGAGATGGCATCCTTGATGCTTATGTGCGCCCATATGCTGGGGCAAAATGTGATTCTTTCCTGTTACAGGACGACAATGCAAGACCACACAGGGCTCGCATCGTATAAGATTATCTTCAACAGGAAACAATTATGCGCATGGAGTGGCCAGCTCGATCCCCGGACTTGAATCCTATTGAGCACATTTGGGATGCTTTAGGGAGACGTCTAGCTGCTCTCAATCTGCCCCCTTAGACCCTTGCCACGCTTCCAACTGCTTTGCAAGAACAATGGCTCTCGCTTCCTATTGAACTGATTGACCGCATAATTGAAAGCATCACACATTGCTGAATGTGCTGTATTGCTTCTAGATGTGAGTATATTCCATATTGAGGGTACTTTTACTATAGCAAACTGACATCTTCGATTTGTTTATTTTATACATGTGCTAATTTTTATACAACCATAAGTGTCTGGTAATTTCTTTTTATGTTATTTGACACCTTACTATGTGTTGTATATTGTGGGTAAGTTTCATAAAATTTTACATGTAACTTTTTCAGTAATCGTGATTTTTGTGATTTTTCCTTAATTTATGATAACCAGTGTACTTAATTCTGCTACTGGACACTGAATCTTATCACATACTTTTCCCAAGGAGTACAACTTTTTGCTTCTCCAGAATAGCCTTGAATTCAACTTTCTTTTGCAAGGAACACAGTTTGGAAAAAGATGGTCATCTTTGAAATTCAATAAGTTTATGTTTTGTTCAACTTTTGCTTCAAATAGGTTTTCAATTTTTAGCTGTTTAAGACTCAGATTAGATTTTATAATATTTATAGAAATCTCTTCTGAAAAGCTTTTGGTTTTCTTGGTTTTAATAGTTTAGGACTGCATAACCTAGTTTTTGAGTGTTGTTTAAATGACAATGTAATTTAGAAGTATATTTGTTTTGCTTTTTAATTTGTAATTGCTTTCAAATGTCGGATTTACATTTAATGTTATTTAAAAAAAATTTTTTGAATGGTCAGTTTGCATAATGTAAAGTTTCTTTTTTTTTTTTTTTTTTTTTTTCTTTTTTGAGTAATCAATTTGGCATAATGTTTTATTCTTTATTTCTTTCGAATGCATGTAGGGAAAATTCTGCATATATTTGAGATTCGATTTTTCAGTTTTTGATCTGAAATGAAGCGGAAGAATGTATTCAAAACATATTAATCAACTTTTATGAAACTTTAATTCATTTCCCCCTGATGAGTTCTGAATTAGTATTTCAGAAAAAAAGAGATTGATTTTTATAGTTTTTAATTATTTTTTCCCCTCTTTTCATTTTTATTTTTCGGGTTTATTCTACTGATGAATTCTTATTTTAATTTTGATTTGTTTAGATAGAGTGTTAAAACTTTTATTCACGGTTGCAATTATTAATACAGTCAAAAGTCTTTAATCCAGACTCGTCGGGACTTTGGCAATTCCGGATTATAGATCATCAGTTTAAATCTGGTAAGATGGCATGCAGAAATTATAAAATTAAAAATATGAAACCGTAATTTATAAAATAATGAGCAATTATGATCTAAAGGGTATCAAAATTTACAAAAAAAAAGCTTAATTTTTATTTGTTTACTTTATTAAACATTTCTTTCAACGCGCGCTTGCGTAAAGCATACATTATGCATAGTCGAAATTAGAAAATTGCAACCAGAAAACTATTTGATTTGTATTCGTGATATTTATAATGATGAGGAATTTGATTTAAATCATATCAAAGATGAAGTACATCGAGATGAAATACTACATTTAATAAGGAATTATAAGCCGAATAAAAAAAAAAAAACATCTGCCCTGAAGATAACGATAGTGCTGACAGATCAACTTCCAGTTCATTGCGCGCCGCACGTCCCCCCCCCCGCAGAGCAGCGTGAAATTGATAAACAGATTTCGGAACGGTTAGATAAACAAAGGATATGCCTTTATCCATTTTTTGGAGCAATTGCACTTTTTGTTTGATGGACATCGAAACGGACATCTTTCGTTTTCGTAGATCCTTTGGGAGCTCCAGCATCGGAAATTCTGTTTGACATAATCGAAAGTTTAAGCTTACTTTTATAAAATTGCTCTTACAGTCTGCAAAAAATAATAAGCTGGATCCAATGCGAAGATTAAGAAACAACGCAATCATCAACATTAACTGAAACAGACAATTAGATCATTTTAGCTTATACCGTCCGTTATATAGGGTGGTCCAGAAGTCACTTTACATTTTGAAAATTAAATAACTTTTTTTCTATTAATATATTTCTTTTTCTCTTTTCAGAATTAAAAAATATAATCCCTGGAAATTTTTGGCATGGATAAGTTTACAACAGAACAACGAGTGAAGATAATTGAATTTTACTTTGAAAATGGACAGTCAATTGTTGCGACGCAAAGGTATGCGCCATTTTAATGTTCGACATCCTACTAGTAGGCCTGCAATAAGGAACTTAGTGACGCATTTTCAAGGTTCAATTAGTGCAATCTTTAAAACCAGCAGACTTTCAGAAACGAGTAAATTATGCTGTCAGGTTTCAGAGAACTGCAAGAAATGACAATGAGTTTATTCACAAGTTGATCATGGAAGATGAAGCTCATTTCCATTTGAATGGACATGTGAATAAGCAAAAAATAAAAAAAAAGAATTAATTAAATACAGTCATTTAAGAAAAAGTTATTTAATTTTCAAAATGTAAAGTGACTTCTGGGCCACCCTATACATTAAACGCGCAGCGAAAACGTATTCTGCGCTTGTGCACACGCAAATTCCCAGTCGTAAAGGTCTTACACGCACGCTTAAACGCCTATGCGCATGCGTCATAGCGGCACATGCGCAGAAAGTTTTTTAGCTTTGAGGTCCGGATTATAGATCATTCCGGATTATGGGTGTCCGAATTAACGACTTTTGACAGTATTGTTGGGAATTGCCTTGTTTTGATTCTAATTTAATTTTAACCTGAGATGCTTTAAGTTTATATATATATGTCTGTGTGTGTGTGTTTAAGATATAATAAAACATGATAGCTATGCTAAGAAATGATTAGTAATGTCAAAACTGACTATTCTAAATTTCATGTTCTCCCCCTATCTTTTCTCCCAAATTCGAGATCTTTCCAAATTAAAATTACATAACGCTGCTTGCAAAGAGAACTAAAACCTAAAATTAACCAATCACAGCTTAGATGTACATATGCACCCCTACTAGTATAAATACTGCTTCGTGAGCAATTACGTCATTCTTTTTCTTAACTTCTCCTGCCTTACAAAACCTCTACACTGATATGCTTAATTGTCTCCCTTTTGCTCTTTACCTAAAATCTGTGCACATAAAAATTATTGTATGGAATTATGATCAAGAAATATCTCGTCTGCTAGAAAATGATTTGCCGTGCATTATCACAGAATAAAATGATGATTCCAAGCGACCACTTCTGTATTCAAGTGTCATCTTTCTAACTAAGCAGGTATTCCTGCAGTCCATTAAAATATCACATATATATATTAATGAAATTACTAATTAATTGTACACTGTTATAAAGCTATATCATATAGTCAGGAGGAAATCATTTAAAATAAATTAAATGAAAAATAAAATCTGTAAATAAAATTACTTAATCTATTTTAAAACCTATAATATTTTTAAATATATCAATATTTTATATTAAGGGCAAAATAAAAAAGTCTAGAACTTATTTAATTTGCAAATTAACTATATTTTAAAAACTTTTGCTCATATTGTTAATCTGTTATCTTCAAGTTACGTATGTGCAGTTATTTGTATTTTGATTATATTATACAGTACAGAGAAAAATGTTAGGGGGCTGATGAAGAAAACCATTCCTTTAAAATGGGCTGATCTAAATAAGTTTTTAATCCCTTTTTTACAACATTAAAAAATAACTACTTCAGATATCATTATATCAATGTTAGGTTAGTAAAAGATTAAATATGACACATTTATGCAAAATCTTACCTAAGAAATATAAATATACTTCTTCTGTAATCTACTCCATCCACCGAGTCATGATAATCTAAGAAAGGAGTCAGAACATCTAGTACACCAGCAGGTATTTTATCTACTTCATCAAATATGAATAATGATTTCTCACAATGTTTTGTAAACTTCGGAATTTCTGTTCGGAGTTTATCCTTAAAAAAAATTAAAATCATTTAAAAAATTGTCATATAAATACAAAGGAAAGCAAACAAATCTATACAGCATTATGAATACATGTATTTTATAAAATACAAGCAAAAATAAGATCAAGTAAATATTGTATATAGCAATCACAAAAGAGAAATTTCTAAATAGCTCATGAATTTCTTATAAAAGTTAAGAAAAATGTGGGACTTGTGTACATGACACCCATCTTGACAGAAGTTATCAATTTTTTTGGAGGTATCAAATTCTGGCAACCATATGCATAATAATTCTTTGGACAACCATGCTATTAAAAGTTCTTCAATTTCAGCAAACAACATCCTCATTTCTGAAAGCATTCTTTTTGTTGTATAAGAATAGTTCTCACAGAAAAACCGTTATATACTCTAGCTTGAACTGAATTTCAAAATATGCACTTGTAGTATTTACCTAACACTAGAAGAAAATTCGATATAATTTGTGCACAAATACAGTGTTTTTAACCAACAAAATGATAAAAAGAAACAATTGCTTTGAATATATTTATAAAGCTATCACTATAAAATTTCTACCAAATTGAAAGAAACAAAAACTGTTAGTAAGTAGGTTTATTGCACAATAATACAATATAAAATAATATATATGAATGCAATTATAAGATTATTCTTTTTCTTCTGCAAGAAACTAGCATAATGACTACCTGTTGTAAGTACTAGAAGTGAAATCCTGCATATTTATTATAAAAATAAACAAAATATTCCAAAATGTAATTTTACAAGTAGATGAGACAGTTTGACAGAATCAGAATTCTATAATCATGTTTCTGCTGCTTGCTATAATGAATAAATGAAAATAAATCAAGTATTAAAAATAACTGGAAGAAAATGAAGCACTCTAGCACTGAATGGATAAAAAAATCAGTATAATCACATGCTAAAGCAATCCAGATTTAGGATATATAGCGTAAGCTTCTGAACACAGCAGAATTTAAGATCACTTAGGTCCAAATTTTAAAATGCTTACAGGTTTCTCTCTCTCTCTACAAGACACATATCTGAATAACACAAATAAAATTCTTTATATAAAATTATACAAAATTTACATTTAATATGATATGGTGAAAATGTATTTGAATTACTAAGTGCATTATCATTTAAGACCTAATGAGGTACTATTTTATTACCTTCTTATTTTTTTAGACTTAATCATTAATCCTTCCTTCTTTCAGTGATAATTTTACTCCAATAAGCTATTAAAAGTTAACTGCTGTTAAAATAATAATCAGCTACACACTTCAACACATAGATATTAGTTGGATTGTTACACAGCATAATGGTGATGTTCACAGGCTCAGTACCAGTCTAGGCACAACTACTGCAGCAGTAGCAGGTTGTAAAAAGCCTAGCCCTAGATATGAATTAAGGTAAAATGTAAGTTATTTTAAAGATAGATGGTACCTATACATATTGGTGTAGTGCATGCACAATCATTAGTGAGTTAAAAAGATAACTATATTTTTGTAAAATTCCTGAGTTGCGTACTTTGGTGACAGAACACTTTGGCCAGTGATTTTTGTCAAGGTTGGGAGGATAATGCAATAGCACTGCAAGTGTACCTAACGGGGTAAGTATTAACTCCCCGGGGGTGAATGTTGATCAAAAGGTTTAGTATTTACTATGTACTGAATTACTATATGTATAGGAAATTACTTATGTATAGGAAAGTACCATATTTTACTGTGATTAAGAAAACTTTTGTGTGCGCTATCACAGATGCTGTTTTAATAGTGAATTAAAAGCACGATTTCAAAAAATCTTAGTTAAATTTTGACAACTTTGATTTTACGTAAATTAATTCCTTCCCACTTGAAATTTCATTTTTAATCATAATAATTATTATTCGTAAAAATTTTCAGGAAGTCATAGCTATTTTGGATTTCCTGAAAATGTGTGCGGTTTTCATGCAGGCATTCGTCTTGTGGGCTTTTGTCATGAAGTTTTGTAACTGGCCGCTGGCTATTCAGGCAGGAAACCATTGTGTTCCTTTTTGTCCCTAGCTGAGTGAAAAAGCAGTTAGAGAGGACAGCCTTGCTTAATTGCTTTTCCCCTATTGAGCCCATCAGCGGCCGAGCGGTAAGTCGCTGAACACTGGTAGTTCGGTCCGAGGTTCGAATCCCACGAACGGGCTGGCTGCATGGGTGTTTTCGTGGTTTTCTCCATGTGTAACGTGTATACGAGCCAGTTTCCCTTAGAAAGTCCTCCAAGAAGGCACCCCTCCCTTTAGGCAGATAGCCCTAGTGTGCTTTGCCATAATTAAATGCACCACATTATCCCCTATCGAACCTGGGGTGCGAAAGAACGGCCTAAGAAGGGAGGGGATGGCAAGAGAGCAATTAGAGGTTAGGAATAAATTAAAGAGGATTTTAGATGTTTTTATTAATTACTAGAAAATAACAATATCTGAAATTCCGCTTGTAATTGAAGTTAAACCCTTTCTTGCATTTTCTTCAATAATTTTTATCTACGGATTAAGCAAGAATTTCAATCATTTTAAAAAATTTCAATAACTGGAAAACGAAAGGAATTAAATATGACTGAAGATGATTTGAAAATATTTCTTAACCATTTTAAAGGTATGATTCAGTGTTTTTGCAGCAAAACTGCAGAGTGGAAAAATATGCTAGTTCTTGAGTGGATAGTGTCTCTAACGAGTTCTGATGAAGCAATTAAACATGTATATTATATCAAAGCAAAACCATTCTTTAAAAGTAAAACTATTGAGTATTTCTAAAAAATTAAATAATTACATATATTAAAATTTACGTAAAATTAATATTTTGCATTTCAACTTTCGTATGGTTGAAAACGGATTTAACTATTCGAATAATTTAAATAACGAAGGATTTTGAACTGAAGAACAAGAGGATTCAAGAACCAGGAGCCCAGCGTTGTAAGAAAAACAATCTCCCACATTAAAAATAAATTTTATTTCAATAAAAAATATTATGTTACTCTGTTAACAGTAAACACTTAAGAAAACAGTTCATTTTACTTTACTATAATTATTTATATACAAAAACTTTCAGTGAAGCAAATTTAAAGAGCATTCAGAAACTGAATTTCATTGGAATTCTGGGACTGAATTTCACTGGAACATTCTTTTGGGGGTTTTATGCTGTTATTACATGTTAAATATTATTTTGCCTATATCAAGAAAAAGAAATACATAGCATGTAAAAATTTATTAGTTAGAAGAAATATCAAATTAAGGTCATTTTCTTTACTTTGAAATGCATTGTTTTCCCTATACAAATTTCATATTCTGACAACACAGAAGTAGTGACCACATAACTTGTAGGAGATATTTCATACAAATCTCGTGTGTTGGCGATCCAGTAGAAAAAATGTATAATTATGGAGCTACAATTTAAATAATTTTTTCCCATACTGAATGAGTTCAAAAGCTTCTAATATCTTGTTTTCTAGCATGAAATGTTTCACCAGTTTTTAAGGTTTGTTCATAAGAATAATTCGTTAAACAGAAGTTAGTACGATCAAGTAAGGTATAAGTCAAATTTCATCTCTTAAGTTTATTAGGTCTGGCTACCAAATAAACGTTTTTGAATACAGCATCAAATTTTAAACATAATTTCTTTTTTAAATTTGTGTCTTAACTTTTATTTTTAAAAAACATGCACGTAATCCCAAGTTTTATATAATAAAAGTTAGTATAAAAGAAGCATGATAAATTAAATGATCTGCACGTTCAGTCACTATTAAAAACTAATTAGGTCTAGACTATAGGTCCTCAATCAGGACGAATATCCCTAAGGAGAATTTCATAATTTCAGGGAGTAATCTAGTCAACCTTTGGTTTTACATGTTAAGTATTTAGTTTTAGTTTATGAATATAAATAAAAACCACATTTGTTCAAATTTGGTATTGATGAACATTTTTTATACTTTTATTTGTTTCATTTATAATACGCATTAAAAATAATTTATATTTAAATAAATTAATATGTACATTTCAAGTTTGGGGAAGAAGGGATTGGATGATCATCTAGCAATGGTGAAAAGGGTACATGAGGGAAAAACTGTTGAAAACCACTGATCTAGACTGAGCCAACTTGAATTAAATATAAATTTTTTATACTGTACGGATCTTTAGTTCTTACTGTAATCACTAGTTTTTTTTTTTTTTTTTTTTTTTTTTTATTTTATTTATTTTTTTTTTTTAACGTGGGAGATAAAAAAATAAGCAATGCCCTCTCCGAGACTAGAACCTGAACCTCTCGAATACTCGCCGATTGTGCTAACTGTTACACTATGAAGGCATGCTGGAAGGAGGGAGAAAATACCTTATATACTCCCCCTTTTAAAGGGCGACTGGGGATTAGGGGACCCAGTCGCCAAATGCTGATGGGAGGAGAATCATCATTTCCTACCTTTTTTTTTTTTAGTTCAGGCACCATGCTGGAGACTTGAAAAATGAGCAATGTATTTGCCAGGACTCCAACTTGGACCTCTCGAATACGCGCTGAGTGTGCTAACCATCATACCACAAAGACATGCTAGAAGGAGGGAGAAAATACTATCCTCTTATGTATTATTTCAACCTGTACTGTTAATTCTGCTTTCCGCTTCCTCACCAAAATGTAAATAAGTTAGTAAGTAAGCGTGTTTAGGATGCAAATGTGTTAAGAGTATTTAAGTCGAAGCTTTCAAGATTGAAAGGGAATATGAATATTGGCTACGTCGACTTCTGCTGTCAGGATTTAGCCATTTCCAGCCTTTGCATTAAGTGTGCCAGTAAGTTAATTGTCTGAGCAAGCCTGTTATGCTAATGTTGTTGTTGCCTGTTATGTTGAATTCCACTATTTAATTTATTACCTTGAAATGTGAAGTTTATTACTTGTGCTGATATTTTAGCAAATCATTTTTTTTTTTTTTCTTGATTGAGTTGTTAAAATATCAATACAAGAACTTAAGTATTGCTATGTGGTTGT